AATAGTGTGGCTGCTTGGTTTGTTATTTAAAAGAGTGACCCTAATGAAACCAGAGCTCTGAAGAGGGGCAAGTCTTCTTTCTGAGACAGAGAAGAGCTAAGACAAAGAGTGCCTAATTGAATCCCAGGGAGGTCTCCAGACATCCATGCCCGGTGACAGTACCTCAGGCCTGAGGATAGCTCTTTATAAGTCCCAGCTAGTTAACCCAAGCATTTCTGAACTCCTTTAAAATAATCTACTATAATATCCCTAGCAGAGGCTGCGAATTGGAGCCAAGAGCCACCAGAAGCTGCATTGGAAAGGAAAGGGGAAGATGAGTGAAGATGAGTGAAGGATGCAGTGGTGTGAATGAGAACCTGGGAATAGATGCCCAGCCAGCAGGGAGACACTTAGGGGAAGGGATGTTAGGGACTGAGGCAGGAGAATACATCCACCAAGTAGAGAAGCAGGGAGGGCAGAATCCACTACCTGAGCAACACACTGGAGAATCAGGCCACAGTGGACCCTGTCTGCTCTCCTCCTGATGCTCTTTCTCCTTCTCCCTGGAGCCTGCAGTTTTGTGGACGGTCTTCACTGTGTAGACCCTGCCTGGCTGCTTCGGGTTGGCTGCACTTGAGACAATGGAAAGGTACATTTGTGGGTCATTGGTTTGGTTTGCTCATTTGTTTGGGAGTGATACTTTTAAAACACAATCTTCTGATACTGTAGTCTAGGCTAGTCCAGAGCCCACTGTATAGCCAAAGTTGGCCTCAAATTAGCATCATGAGCTCAGAGAGTGCTACTGGCTCATCGTCTTGACTGACCTATAAGCAGAGTGCAAATGAGAATTGCCCTACTGGGTAGCACAAGGCCTCTCAGACCCAAGAGATGCTGAACAAAGGTTAAACCAAAGGTGGCCTCAGGGTGTGGATAGAGCCCATGTTCCAAAGGTGACATTTACACTCTAGTGTAAGATGAACTAAGCCAAAAATAATATACCTGAAGGTTGCTGTTTACCCTGGGGGAAGGTTTAACACAAGTGGGGAGGCTTGAACTGCTTTCTCAGACTTAGCATTGCGAAGTTCCCTTGATTTGTGTTGTTTGACAGATGTTTTAGTCTCAGTAGCCCTTGGCCTTTAGTTTTGGTTTTAATTGGAAGATACCTGGGAAACTAGCACAGATCAGATTTCAGTGAACTCTGAAAATATCAGAAGAATGCATGGGTCTACAGAATCGACTCCACAGGAAGGTTTCTGACCTTGGAAAGAGCAGCTGGGCAGGCTACCCACCTCTGCAGAGTGAACGTGCATGGAGAACTGGAGGACCTCACTCACCCCCTTCCCCGTGTCACACACTGTGTTGGGAGAAGGACAGAGGAATGGAAAGGACAGAAAGCTGCTGCTTGCTGTCATAGAGACTTTTTGTTGGAGACACTTTAATTAGGAAAGCATTAGATTTAGTGAAGACATATAATGTGGATGCCAGACCAAGTCTTAGGAGCATCTTCCCAAGGGAAGTCAAGACAATGGAAACCTAAGGATGACTAGCACTGGGTAAGTAGAGGACATGTGTTCACTGGTGGCTGAGGGCTTGCTGGGTGACATCTTGCTTTGCCAGTGAACTTGCGGTGATGGGCCATATCCTAGGGTATAGCTTCAGGTGTGCAGACCTGACCCCTTATAAGGAAGAGGAGGGACTGGCTGTCTTGGGTTGTGGTCAGAGCATCAGAAGGGCAGAGACTGTGTCTTCAGGAGCTGGAATACAATGGCTGTTGTTTACCATTAATTGTGTAAGTGCTTCCCTAATAAATACCTGTTAATCATTTATCTTGGGTCCTATGGACTCATTTAAACCCCGCCTTCAGCCCTGTGCATGCACAAAGCCCTTGATCTGATCCCCAGCACCACACATGCATAAACTGGATGTGGGGGTGTAGAGCTGTAGCCCTAGCATAGAGGCAGGGTGATCAGTTTACGTCATCATCCATGGACTACATTACAGTTCCAGACTGGGGTACATGATGAGACCCAATGACAGTGAGGGGAGTTGGAAGGAGAGAGACTGTAGTGTGTTTATAAAAAAACACACAACTGAAGTGAGCTCAGCAGTCTAGGAAGGTCATGTTGACGGGAGAGAAGGCATGAGGCAGTTTTGCAGAGACAGGCAGGGCCCATGCTGGGTAAAACTTTATAAACCACATTAAGGAGATGGTTCCTTATTAGAGCAGCAATAAAAAGCCATTGGAAAGCATTAAGCAGGCAGGTGATAAAATCACACCCCATTGTAGATCACTCTGGGTGCAGCATAGATTGCCAAGAAGCAGACCTGGGTGCAGGGGAGGCTGCAGCAGCTCAAAGAAGATGGGCTGGAGCATGGTAGGAAAGGTGAAGGCACTGCACCGGCATCCCAGAGCTACTGGGAGACTCTGGCCATGAGCTATCAGGGACGCACAGGACTAAGGAAATCTTGGGAATTTTGATGAATCAAAATGAAATACTAACAAGATGCATCTCAGATAGTATAAATTTGGTTAGAAATGGAAAAGGAGTGGGCAAAGAAATGAACAATTCAGCTTCACAGGCGTGAGCTCCCAGTACCCACAGTATCAAAAGAAAAGTCTTATCCAGTTTAAAACACAGGCTGAGATTCAATCCCGGTGGTACAGGCCTATAATCCCAGCTAGTTAGGAGGCTGGGCTGAAACAATTCTAGGGCCTTCTGGGTCACAGAGAAAATTCAAAGCCAGTCTAGTACTAGTTAGTCAGATCATGACTAGTACCTAGTACCTCAAAAAATGTGTAAGATATGAGCCGGGGTTAGGATGTGGACAGAGATGCAAAGTCAGGGAATATACAGACCTCGAGTCCAAGGCCATTTGTACAGAAATGAGCAGCTAAGTAAGACAGAGGCCCCTAGAATTAAAGAAGAATGTACCAAGGAGCCTAAGATAGGAAACCTGAGAGGAATAGTCAACCAGGACCCTCCATATCACCAAAGGATGGTGGGAGAGCAGAGCTCATAGCAGGAGGGTATTAAGGTTGAGTGGTCACAGTCATGGCCACATGAGAGCTGCTTTTCATTTTAACTCTAAATTAAAAGCTTTGCTGAGAAACTGTAGATCAACTTCCCTCCAGAGGCAGAATGCCAGTAACTTACACAAACCTTCACCAAAGGTTGTTTAACTTTCTCAGGGTGCACTCTTGTATTTTATTTCATGAGCTGGATGGCAGATGCCTACTGTTGAACAAAGGAAGTATTAAAAAGCAGTCATAACTACGTTTGTATAAAATTATATATTTAAACCCATATAGATGTATAGCAAGATGTCCAGGATGGTCCCTAACTAACTTAATAATTATATATCATTAGTTGGAGTTAAGGTCATTTTAATCTCCTTATTCGTGATCTGTTTTGTTCAGATCTTTACAGCCTGCATGCATAGCCATTTTACCAAAATAAGAAAACCACAAAGGCCTAGTATAAGATTCCCATCATGCATTCAGTTAGCACTTTCAGGAGGGTGTAGCACAGGTATGAATGCCTCAGATGAGGAGGTCAGGAGCACAGCATCCCATGAGTAAAGTTTTGAATGTGAAACCCTCCCGCCCCAGATGCTCATGTGATGAACTCTTGGTGCCCAGGGGGTAGCACCATCTTAGGAGGTGGTAGGAACTTTGGGAGGTGTATCCTTTCTTGAGGAAGAAGGTCACTGAGGGCATGTTTTTGAGGGACATACCTGAGACCTTCTTGTTTCTCTCTGCTCTGTGTATACTATGAAGTAAACTGTCTTTCCCTGTGACGTTTTCCACCATGGTGTCCTCCTCTACACTGTGGTCCAGGAGGCATGGAACCAGTCATCATGGACTAATGCCTCTCAAACCATGCCCCGAAATATATCTTCCCTCCTTTTGAGTCGTTTCTTCCAGGTGTTTTGCAAGAACAAAACAAAGTGCCCAAAACAGAGTCCTTTCTTTTATTTTACTACAAACCAGACTCAGGGCCACAACATCCTGGCTCATGAAGAAAGACAGTGAGGAGCAAAGATGAGGAGACCAAGTCTCTTTCTTTAAGGAAAGAATACTTCATATGCTAATAGACCCATGGAGACTGTTCTCCACTCCTTCCTGATGTAGCAACTTTCCAAAGGGAAGTTGATTCCGCTGTCCCTTTTTCTAAGTCTACTGAATCCAGTGATCAAGTACCTGGGGATCACAGATGTCTGGGTTCAATTTCAAGTCCAATTGAATACAAATTTCTGTATGGACCTATTCTCATATAGTATATAATGGAAATGATTGTTTTTTAAATTCTGACTAATGGATTATTTGAGATATTAAATTGAGGTGCTGGACGTTGGTGGTGCATGCCTTTAATCCCAGTACTTGGGAGGCAGAGGCAGGTGGATCTTTGTGGGTTCAAGTCCAGCCTGGTCTACAGAGTGAATTCCAGGACAGGCTCCAAAACATCCAAAACAATACAGGGAAACTGTGTCTGGAAAAACTTATATATATTATATATATGAAAACTCTTATAGCACCATCAAGCACACAGTAAGTGCTTAGTAAATGAAAGCTACTTTCATGTGTATGAGTGTGTGTGTGTGTGTGTGTGTGTGTGTGTATCAGGGTTTTATGTAGCACAAGCTGGCTAGCTGCATGCTACGGATAACTCTGACCTTCTGATCCTCCTGCCCTGTGTACCACTATGCCAGGTTTTATGTGGTGGTGGGTATGGAACCCAAGCCTTTGTGTATTGGGGGCAAGCACTCTACCAACTGGTTTGCTGTTTCTCCGAGTAAGAATACAAAGAACAAGGTTTAATTGAAGAGCTCCCCTGACCATGACCAGGTGCCATTTCAAGGCTAGCCTTCAGCCTGTTGCTGTCCTGCACGGCCGGCCCCTGGTCCTGCACGGCCCGCCCCTGGTCCTGCACGGCCCGCCCCTGGTCCTGCACCCCCACTCTTGCCTTTGCAGCTCTCTCCTGGCCCCCACCATGCGCTCTTCAGCGCTGCTCCACACTTACCTATTCAGCATGTTAGATTGGTAGATCCTCTTCTCGTGGGTGTTGTAACAACTGCTTTTGGGCTCAGGGATGAAACTGTGCTCGGACAGCATGTCGGAGGCAGCAGTGGTGATGATGGCAATCCCATCTCTCACTCTGGCAGGGAGGCCATAGTCCCATTCATCATAGGACACAGAGATAAGCCCAGTGGGAAACTCGACGGGCACCGTGTCTGTATCCCCTGCCACCAGACTAGGCACAATCCATGTGTAGCCGTAGCCGGTCAGCCCGACTGAGTTAGCTACTTCAAATATGTAGGTGGCTTCCTCCTTCGTGCAATACAGAAGGATGATGGGACTCTGGAGCTTCTTCAGCTGGTTCTGGATCTTGGAGTCGCCGTCGTCTAGAGACATGTCTAGCAAGAGGACTTCTTCCAGCTCCCAGCCCACAAAGCTGTTCTCGATAGTGCTGCGAATCTTGTTCACGAAGTCCTGGTAGCCGGGGAAGTAGGTGGTGACGATGGAAAAGATGTACCAGTCGTATTCTTCCATGATGTTGAGCATGACGGAGGCTTGCTGCTCGATGGATGGGCCAAACTGGAAGAACATGGAGGACTCATCCTAGAGTAGTCAAAGTAGAAGAAAAAAGAGAGAGAAACAGAAAAATCAAACAAAGATAGCCAGGGGGATTGTGAATCAACTGGATACATAAGTCCATGTTCATCTTTTTTTTCACAGAATTTTTCATTTTCCAGTTTTTCGGGGGAAAAAATGAACGTTTTTGAATTTCGAACATTTATAATAAATTCATTCCTAAGAGTATTTCCTGGCATTTAGAAAAGGAAACAGCATCAGTCTATGAGTCTTTTTGTATGAACTCCACAGGGTCCTAGCTTAAGATAGCTCCTCAGAAGGAAACACATTGATATTTACACAGTGGAACATCAAATAATCAGGAAATGGAAAGAAGAGCCCAAGGCCTCATGCCAGTCGGGTGAGCTGCCCTCATGCACACAGACAGACAGATACACATACACATGCATACACACCCTCCATTTCTCAAGGATTTTAAATTTCTGAGTTTGTAGATTTTTATGATTCAGTACCAGAATGGATAAACTAAAGTACCATAGGTCTGCCCTTAGATTTGCCTACATGGCTGGTGTAAGTCCACTCATGCACGGTATACCTGATATGTGGCTATGGAAACCAAAGAGAACATAAAGCTGTTAGTAACACATCCCCCATAGTACTGGAGATTGAAACCAGGTCTCATAAGCTATGCCTCACCATTGAGTGCCCCCCTCCTTTCTACTGAAACATGTCTGATATGGGTTCTCACCCAGTTTTCCAGCCTGGACCTAGATTTACTCTGTGTAGTCTCAGCAGGCTTTGAACTTGGAATCCTCCTGAATAGCTAAAATGACAAGTTTGTTTCACCAGGCTAGGCTTACTAGCATTGTCTATTAACTTGGCTTATTCTCTAACTGTTGCTCAGCTAACAAGATACACAACTTAGAGCAAGGCTCCAACAGCGCCTCTAAACCATACATTAAAATACTGGTAGCTAGATTCTTCATGTGGCCCTGCTTGATTTTAGAGCCACCTACAGAAGAGGGCTTGTTTTCTAACCCATATGATGCCACAAGTCTTAGACTGATCTGTGTAACATGTACACACTGACTCACACACACACACACACAGAGGGAGGGAGGGAGGGAGGGAGAGAGAGAGAGAGAGAGAGAGAGAGAGAGAGAGAGAGAGAGAGAGAGAGAGAGAGAGAGAGAGAGAGAGAATTTTGAGCATCTTGTTTTCCTCCCTTTCCTTTTGAGGGAGAAGCCATTTTGAATTCCTCCCGTTTTAAGCTGCAGTTTACCTGCTGTTTTGCCGTGTCAAAGCCTGTAGTGTAGCTCCACCTTATAGCTACAAGAATCTGAAACCACAGAATAGACACCCTCTCAGCCTGTCCTCTCCGGCCACTCACCTGATTTGTTCCTGGTAATGGAGTCACTTTTCCTAGTCTGTGCCCCCACCTTCCATCTGAGGGCCCCTTGTCCATTTTGAAATTATCTAGGCTAACACAATTGTCTCTCTCTTCAAAGGCCATTTCCTCCCCAGCCCCAACAACCTGAGCTTTAAAGTACAGCTACAAGAGACCAAAAATTGGGCCTTTAAGCAAAATTATATAGCAATTTCTTAGTTCAGGAATAAATAATCGAGAAACAGCCAAGTATTTCTTGAGTGCCAACTATTGAAAAAATACAGGCTGGAAAATACCCTGCTTGTATCTCAAGACCCTAGCTGGGCAGTGAGAATTGCCAGACCCTTTGCTTTGCCAGAGTAATGTGTGCTTCTCATGCTTGAACTGGTGACATCCAGCGTGGGGGAGATGTTTATCCAGCAGTGGTGAGTCTTCCTACCTATGCTGCGATGCTGCTTACCCTTACTATGCCTATTTCCTCTGAGCTTAAAAATACAGCCAGAGATGAGCTCCAAGGGGCTACAAATGTCAGAGAAGTGGGGAAGATGAAGCAATAAGAATATCCCCTAGAGGAAAGGGAATGAATTCAAACTAGAATAATTAATGCAAGAAGTGTTCTAAACTCTGGCCAGTCCCTGCTCTTGGATTTCCCTATAACACAAGGACTGTTCTTCAGGAGAAAAATGACCTGTTCTTTAGGTGTAGGTTAGAGTTGTGATGTGGAGTGTTGTCCCTCTATTTTAATAAATCCTAACCTGTAAGATGAGAGTAGTAGAACGTGTTGTCCTTTGAGAGATGATAGGTTTTGCAGGCAGAGATCTCAGAAATGAGACTCCAGGGAGCTGCCTTGACAGTTCCACCTTGAGCGGACACAGAGAAAAGCTGCCTCAACAACCCAAAGAGGGAGTCTTGACTACACACCAGATCTACTAGCACCATGATCGTTGACTTCTCAGCCTTCAAAACGATGAAAACTAAACTCTTATTGATAAACTGTCTCCTTTATGATATTTTTATAGCAGCTTAAAAGGACTAAGGCAAGTGGGTATCCGAGACAATGAATCTTAATTATCCCAACACTTGTCAAGGACCTGCATGCAGAGAGTCACAAGGGAAAAGAGACAGAAAAGAAAGCCCACTGACATAACAGCTCATCTAGAATAAACACTGCTTTGCGGAGATACCTACTTGATTTTCTTATAAAGACAGTCTTGGAGATTCTCAAATGGGAAATCTCATCCTGTGAGTTTCCATAGGCCCAATGGTTACACAAAGTGAAAACGCTCCCAATATACTTTAAGATATAGAGGACCTAAGAGAAGGAGATCTCAAGTTCAAATGAAATAAATTAACCCATTCTGTGATAGGTGAACAGAATTTAATCACAAGGAGACTCTTGAATATACACAATGTCCCACATTGGCTCAAATACACAGCAAGAATCAGCTTTGGGGAAAACTCATTGATTTTCATCTCAGATGCCAAAATTGGCTCAAATACACAGCAAGAATCAGCTTTGGGGAAAACTCATTGATGTTCATCTCAGATGGTCAGTTTTTTTTTTCGAGACAGGGTTTCTCTGTATTGTTTTGGAGCCTGTCCTGGAACTCGCTAGGTAGACCAGGCTTGGTCTCAAACTCACAGAGATCCACCTGCCTCTGCCTCCAGAGTGCTGGGATTAAAGGCGTGCGCCACCACTGCCCGGCCAGATGGTCAGTTTTAATGACACTGAACTTAGAGAATGAAAAATCTATTGAACAACAACTTGACCCTCTCTTCTTTCTGTCTCCTCCTAAAGCTTCCCCACAGTTTTAAATGGACTCATAAAGATACTACCAGTTAGTATACAAAGAAAATTAATCTACCAATGAGAGTAAGAAAATAAAACTTAACATGGTTGCATCACACCCCAGCTGCACTCTGAGCATATCTTATAATCCCATCATCATATATAACACTTTTTCTATACAGCCCTCATCATGCCCACCTTACCCATTCTGTATTGCCAGTCCTTCTCACTCAATAAGAATGCCTTCTGCAACCATTTTATCTGTCAACAAATCAAATTTTATGAAGCCAGATAGAAATCAAGAGGCAGAGTCAGGGCTTGGGCAAAGGCTTCCCATATAATGAGGAGTATGGTGTTGTTCATTTAGTTGATGTGTCAGGTTGGTGTATAGCAGTCCATTGTAGAATAGCTCTTTTTTTTTCAAACAAAGCTTTGGTCTAACTCTAACTTGCAAATGGTGACAGGCTTTGCTAATTATGGCCTCTGCCACAAATCAAAGCACAAATCTTCATATGCGCATGGAGTGGAAAGCACTGGTGGCCACACATCCATCTTTGTAGGCACCCAGAATCTACTATGATCACCCACTAGAGATCAAGGACAAAGGACAGAGACACAATTCTGTTTGCAGCTCACTCTGCTTCCCGATGAACGTTTTTATCTCCTAATGATATTACAAAATGTTGATGCCCAAGGGTCCCTGGCTCAGCCACCGCCCCTCAGTGAAAATTCCCAGCCAAATTTGTTGCATAATGCACTTCAACTTGCCTTGAGAGAATCTTGAGAGTCTTCCTGCATAAAAGGCTGCCTTAACTGAGACGGGTAATTAGCAGAGAGGAGGTAGAATTGTACGTTCGACCCCACCAATCTACAACCTTTACGTTGTACTTCCATTACATTGATGTTCGCAGTGTTTGTTTGCTAATAAGAAGAAATAAAGAGAAGTGCTTTTTCATCCCATTATCTGCCTCAGAAAACAGCTGCCTAAAGAATTAGCAGCACGAGGAGTTTTTCATCATCCAGATCCCCTACTGATCCACTTCTGAAATGAAGAACTAAGTATCCCAGTAACTGCAGTGCCCCTGGCAACAGACTTCATCTCAGTACCCTGTCCCAACACACACTCACCACTGTCTCTCAGATGAAATGAGCCATTTGTGTACAGTCCTTTTCCTGGAACACAGGGCCTTGCATAGTTGGCTATCAAGGTGTCTAAAGTCTGGTTCCGTTGCTCTAAGTGCAGACGGCTCCATCTTCCTTCTGAATTCCCCACACGGTCAGAAAGAGTGTCCACTATGGCTGCATCACCTGTACTTCTCCTTCTGCTCAGTCTAGTTTTATCTTCCTTTCCCTTTCTTGGTGTTGATGTCCAGATCCTTCCTTCATCAGCCTGTACCCTGCCTTCACCGTCAGTCTGCTTCCCTTGGAACCTAACTCCATTTACCCTCCTTTGTAAACATGGAAAGAGCTGCCTTAAAGGACTTCAACACAGGGGCTGGGAAGATGGCTTAGTTGCTAAAGTGTCTGCCTTACAAACATGGGGGACATGAGTTTGGATCTCCAGCATGCATGTTTTAAAAAGGACACACACACACACACACACACACACACACACACAAACTGAGCAGGGTTGTGCCTAAATGTAACCCTAGCTCAGACATGCCCCTGGAGCTCACTGGCCAGTCAAGTTTGCCAGTTGATAAGCATCAGGTACAATGAGAGACCCTTTCTCAAAAGATAAGGTGAACAGTGATAGGGAAAGACAACCAATGTAGAGTCTTGGTCTCCACATGCACAGATGCATGCACACACTTATACTTACATGCATGCATACACACACACACACACACA